GGCTGAGCAGCATTACCTGTGCCAGCCCAGGACTTAGGGCCATGTGCGGCCAGACCCAGTGCAAGACAGACCACACCATCACTGGAGGTGAGCCACAGGCACAAGGACCAGTGGCTGTGCTGTTTTCCCCCAGCGCCTGTCCCCACAGAACTCACAGCTGCCGCTGGTAGTATCTCCGAAGAAAGGGGTGAGGTGCAGCTCCCACAGCAAAATTACTGCTCCCAGTGTCCACCAGGATATTGAGCTGGAGAAGGAAGAGACAAGGAAGGTTTGTGACTGCAGTAGAACTCAGGCTGCACTGTGCACCCAAGTCTGTGTGGCATTGCAGGCAAGTGATGCTTTCTTTTTCCCTGTGTTTTCTGCATGGTGGCTGCTGTGCTGTGTGCTCCTGTGACCCACAGCTCTGGGTCCTCATCTCAGCAGCAAGCCTAGTTCTGCCCTTCTGGCTAGGGCTGTGCGCCAGCCATGCTTGTGGGACTGTGGGAGCAGCAATGGGGCAGCCAGGGGTAGGGCAGGGAGGCTGTAGCCCAGCAGCTGCAGGGGCCTGCTGATGCTGTGCACAAGGATGGCTCAGGGCAGTTGTGCAAGAGAGGATGGGACGGTGGAGCAGGAGTCAGCAACATCAGGCTGTTGCACAAAAAGCAAACATCATCTGGCACTGTGCAAACACAGCATGAGCTCTCCTGCCCTGCTCAGCACGGTATGACCTCAGCCCCCTGCAACCGGTGTGGGAGAGAGCAGCAGCAAGGCAAGGTCTCCAGGTCCCCCTTGCCAGGAAATCTAATTTGCTGGTGGGAAGGACTGATGGTACACAAGCCGCTGTGGATTGCTGCGTCCGCTAATCAGCCATCCGTGTGCTGAGCTCCGCTCCCGATTCATTTCTGCCTTGCCCTGGATTAGCAGCTTGCAGGCAGAGCTTGGCAAGCACCCACCAGCTGGGCTAGGAGTGGGCCAGCCCTGTCCCGCCACTGGCCAAGCTCTGCTTGTGGCCCCTCTGCCCTGCTGGAGCCGGGCCTGGCAGGACACCGCTGGTTGCAGAGGGCTGTGCAGCCATAGGGCTGCTCACCCATACAAGTGATCCACCAGGGCTGTGGGCCTTAAGCTGTGGATTCGGGAAGGAAGGAAGCTAATGCGCTTGTGCTAATCGCACTGGTGCTTGGCTACCACCTGCAGAATTTCTTCAGTGAACTACGGGCAACGGCTCCCCTGCACACAGCACAAACTCGGCAACCACTGCCCTGGCCCACCTCGGTGCCCAGCTCTCCTGCACCGACCCTGGTGGCTGTCCTGCATCCTCCACACTGTGACACAGGCAGGCTTTTTGCCAAGGAGATTTCAGCTCCAGGTAGGAAGTGGAGCAGCACGCTCACCCCGCTGCACGCCTTGCTCAGAGGGGCACTCAGAGCCTTCCCCGGGCAACCACAGCCCTGCCATTCCCAAGGTGGCTGCTGGAGCGTTCATTAGCCATCTGCTGCACACAGCCTTGCTGCTGATCTCCAGGGTACCTGGTGAGGACTGCTTTCTCTGGGGAGATACCTGCTGAGCTGACTCTGCAGGGAGAGGACACAGGCAGCGGGGAGGAGGCTCGCTCTGGAGGCCACGTTGTCAAGAGCAACCATGTTAGGAAGATGAGGAAACCTGCAGCTGCCCAGGACCTGCACCAAGCCCTTGGACGTTCAGACAGTCCCAGAACTGCCTACTGGGCTCTTCCTTGTGTGGCATGTGCAGCGTTTTGCACTGGTGACAGTGGGAGGCAGGGGTGGGGTTTCTGCCCTGCAGGCTACGCTCTGCTGCCTCGAGTTTGCTGCCACGTGCATTGGCCCCACTTCCTCCAGGCGCAGCCCAGCCCTTGTCTCAGGGCAGGACACGACACATGCAGCGGTGAGGCTGGGACATGAATGGCAGGGATGCTTTCTGAAGCCCGTCTGCAGCTCCCTGGATGTGACAGCCCCTCTGGGCGCTTGGCAGAAGCACTGCCTCCACACTGCACACGAGAGCGGGGCTGGCAGCACGCTTGTGGGGTCGCAGGGGGACAAGCACACAGCGGTGGCACCGAGCCTCTGCCATCTGTCCCAGAGCGCTGGCTCGGGCTGCTCTGCTCCCACCTCCTCCTGCTGTCCGGGTGAATCAGCGCTGGTGGCACAGGCGCGCTGAGAGCCGGGGGGGTGCGAGAGCGATTAATTGTTGGTAGTGACTGCGCAGTGCAGCCCAGCTCACAGCCAAAATTCAAGCACAGCACAACAAAGAAGGTGAAAGCCAAGGAGAGCGAGGGGCTGGCAGTGAGACCACGTTGGGCTGCATGTGTACCTCTGAAGAGGATGCACGCATCCTCCCAGATAAACACCCGCCACGCTCCCCAGTTTCCTGTGTATGCATCAACTTAGCCTTTCATGTGAATCTTTTAATTCCATTAAAATGCCTGGAGGGATTTTGCTCCGGCACACAAACATGCACATACGCATGCATATGCACACACTGCATCCACACTTGGAAGCACTCCAAGGCTGGAAGATGCTTCCCAAAAGGGTGACAGCTTCAGAAATCCACGAGTGCCTGGAAACAGGTGGTTCTCACTGAAATTATTTGGCAGCTGTGACACATGGCATGTTCCAAGCAAAAGCTCCAGCAGGGCTGGATGATGAAATCACATTTAGAGCTAGATTTTAGAAATAATCTCCTTTTTTTTTTCCTTTCCCCATAAACATACCCTGCCTGAACAGAAAAATACATCCTAAACACACACAAATTGACACAAAGCCACCTCAAGACACACAATCTGTAGAGCCATAGAATGGCTCAGGTTGGAGGGGAGCTCAAAGCCCACCCAGTGCCACCCCCGGCCATGGGCAGGGCTGCCCCCCACCAGCTCAGGCTGCCCAGGGCCCCATCCCACCTGGCCTTGAGTGCCTGCAGGGATGGGGCACCCACAGCTCTCTGGGCAGCAGCGGCAGCGCCTCACCGCCCTGACCAAAGGATTGCTTCCTCACAGCTCACCCACATCTCCCCTCTTTTAGCTTAAAGCCATTCTCCCTTGTCCTGTCACTATCAGACCACTCCCACAAGCAACATTTTGTCGATTGTGAGCAAAGGCAGTTGTAGGAACCCCCTTGCTGTGCTTCTCTTCTCCCCTTTGGCTTCTCTACCCAGTGCACCACCCGTGCAATACCCACCAGGCACCCGAGGAAGAAGGCAGATCACGCTGGAGGTGCACATAGCAAAGCCCAGCTGCTATTTCAGAACCACCGTGGGCACAGCAGAGTTTTGGCAGAGCCAACCTACACCGTGGGCGGCAGCAGCACAGGATCCCGGCCCTGTGCTCGAACGAATCCAGACCTCCACGCATTTCAGGAGGCCCTCAAGGTCCCGCTGGGCTGACCGTCCCGCTGCTGCTATGCATGGCACGCACCCACACACCGTGCCGACACCCGCGGACCCCCAGAGCCACCAGGATGGGTCGTGGCGGTGCGGCCCCGCAGCCCCGCGCCTCTCCCTCACCTTCTGCGGGGGGCTGCCCACCGTCATCTCCACATAGTAGCCCTGCCCGGACTTGCCCCGCAAGTTATCGATCATCTCCACGAAGGCGCTCTTCCTCTCCGCCTCCTCCGGCGCTCTCCTCGCCCTGGCGCCCGGCGGCGGGGCCGATCCTCCCCGCAGTGGCAAGCGGATGCTCGGCGGGGCCGGACCGATGCTCAAGGCCGCGGCCCCGACGCACAGCAGCAGGCAGGGCCAGGCGGAGGCACCCATGGCCGCGGCCCCGTGCCCGGATCGCCCCTAACGGGCCCGCAGCGCCCCGCGCCTCGGCCGGGCGGCCGCGCCGGGGC